GGGTTTTACTCGGAAAGACCTGACAATTGCGTGAAACTTTCTTAGTAAATCTTAAAGAGGACTTAAGGATTTCCACGCATTTTCCCATTCATTTCCATAAATAGAAAACTGCATTACGAATAAGTATTTTGGCAGATTTATGATTTTAGATGAGACTCAACCGTGAAAAGTCAGTGCTTCGACTGGATTCGAACCAGCCACAGAAACACTATGCCTTAACGCGGCGAGCGCTCCAGCAGCTGAGCTACGAAGCCACTCCTGGAGCTCGGAAATTTCACTTTTGGACACGGTTACCCACCCATGACGTTGTTGGATTCCAGCGTGAACTGTTCGAGAAATCCTGCCGGAGCAGTTGATCCCCTGAATCATTCGGTGGATTCCATATTAGACAGTGGGAAGGGTGAGTAATCGGGTCCAAAGGTGAAATTTCCTAGCTCCGGACGTTCCTGGAGGACTTCGAGAACGTGGCCAAAGTCGTCGGAGTCAAGACTGATCGTGGAAAGCTGGCTGCCCTGCGGACGCTAGTGAAGGGCAGGGTAATGGCGGTGCTGGACGCAGCACGAAGAGGCCCTGCGAAGATGGAGTGGGTGGCTGCAAAAGAGGCGCTGATGGCTGTGTTTGGCAGTCCAACCCACCACCAGGAAGCCACGCGGCAGACATGGACAAGCAGTGGATCCATCCGTGATCGCTGCCACTCTGCAAGTTTCGCTGGACAGAGCTGTGCCAGGATTGGATCAAGAACCACGACGGCAGTTGTTAACGGAGCAGTTCATTGAAGGCCTCCCGATAGCGGTTCGCGACCAAGTCTGTATTGCCCATGTCGCCCAGCCGATGGACCTTGATGAACTCATAAAGGCGACGCGGGAGTTGGCAGTAATGTCCGCGGCCTCAGTGGATGCGAACAAGAAGACGCTGGAGGAAATGCAGAAGACAATGGAGCAACTAGCAACGGATGTAGCAACGTTGAGAACAGCATCACAAAAACGATCCACTAAGAGGATGCTTCATATATAGGAAGAACGGATATTGGAAGAGGGATTGCCCAATCCAGTGGTTTAGGAGGCCTAAAAATAGTGTTTCATGATTGTTCTTTCTATTGGGCGGGTCAACTAGTAACGGAAGCGATTGAGAAGGAGGCCGTACATACAAGGGTGAAAGTTGACGGAGAGACAGAACAGTGCTTGGTCGATATAGGAGGAGCTAGTTCGTTGATTGCTCGTGCAGAAAAACAAAACGTAGAACCGACATCCATGATGATCAAAACGGTTGGAGGTCACAGTTTACTGGTTGACGGTGTGAAAGAATGTGGGGTACGTATCGGCGGCCATATCTTAAGGCATCGTTTCATAGTGTCCCCAGAAACTAGGCAAACGATTCTTGGAGCTGATTTCCTTGCTGCAACAGATGCCGTCACTGACTTGAAGCTCAATAGGTTGTCGACCAACTACGGCTTCCTGACACCCACAGGACAGCGACAGGATAGCGT